GTTTGGACGTTGATGGCAAACTTAGTGAGGTAAGAAACTGCTGTTTCTTCAGATTGAAAAATTAGTGTAAAACACTGTTTACTTATACACAACGCAAAAGATGCTGTGGTTCGTCGGGTGACTGACCAATGCGGACGCTTCGGTCCGTGTCTCACGGGCCCTCTTCAAGGTAGGTTGGTGGTGAAGTTTCGTGAATGTGATTTTTCGCTAGAAGGCCTTCTAGCTCCAAAACTGTCGACTGCTGCGGACGACCAACCACATTAACGAAACTTTGCCACCTTCATCCTACCTTGAAGAAGGCCGTGAGACAGGGTCGAAACGTTGATATTGGTCAGTCAGCGGACTGATGGCAGTATCTTTTGCGTAGTGTATAAGTAAACCATGTCTTACGCTATTTTTTCAGTATGACCACAATCGCACGAACGAATTACTCTCTCTGTTTCTTCAGATTCATAAAGCAAACGTAGCTATGAAGGAAGTAATGACTCTAATGACTCTTAGTAAAATTTTATATTGGCATATCGGCATAGTCAACCTTTCTCTCTCCACTTCTGGGTGAAGGTCTTTCAAAGATTTTTCCAAACACTTTTGTTTTTGCGATTCATGTATCCATGTTGATCCAGCGAACTTCTTTAGCTCATCCTGCCATCGATCTGTAGGTTTTCCTACGAACCGTTTACTTTCTCTTGGAATACAGTATAGTGTCTCTGGTCCAGCGATAATCCGTTGTTTTTGAAGCGTGTCCTGCTCATTGCCATTTCAGTTTCTTTACTCGGACAATGTCATCGCCTCCTCATATGTGCTCGTATCCATTCTTCCGTCTTCCTGTCGTTTCTTGTTGTTGCCTTGAAAACTGTTTCCAGCATAAAGGCAGTTTCCGAATGGGAAGGTTTCCAGTCTTCCAAAAGTGCTCCAGGCCATTTACGATTTTCTATTGATTTCACGTAGTAGTTTCTCCGTTGCATAGATTAGCTCTACCAGATAGGCATAATTTGCACTTCTTCAATCGTTGACAGGTCGCAGCGTTACGTATTTGTTAAACATGACCTGAGTCGTCTTCAAGTACATTTTTAACCTTTATTTGATGCTGGCGTCATTCAGCTGTCAGAGTATTTTTTAAAGTCCTGCTGGTGAGTTTTAGAGGATTAGAATATCCCCCAAAAACCGCATGTGGCAAAAGTTAGTGCTCACTTACCTTCGACCCTTGATTTTCTCAACGGAGTGTCTTGAAAACTTCTTCTAAGGCTGCAGGGAATGGCCTTGGTGATTTTGCGTCTCCATATCGGAGATGGTTTTCGATTTTGAAACTGTTTGTGCTTTCATAATGCCGCAGACTATCAGCATCTGTAAATCTTGGCGAGGAGGTCTCCATATCTTTTCTCAATTTCTTGACTCTTTAAGGAATCCAGTACTGAACAGATGTGGATTGAGTCGAAAGCCTTCTCGAATTCAACGAGGCAGAAAGGAAGCTGATATTCGTTGCATGTCTGAATAACATGTTGTGCCACCTGGAGATAATCGATCGTACAAAATCCATTTCTGAATCTTGCTAGTTCCTTTGGCTGTGCAGCACTGAGTTTCCTTGGTCGCTTAGTCAGTAGCTTTGCGAAGAGGCTTTAGATAGTTGGTAACAGTAATTTGCCTATACTTCTTCAGATCGCCGCTGTCATTGTTTTGGTGTAGTAGAATCACTCTGGCGGTATTCCGGTCATCTGGAATTTTCAGTTCTTTCAGATGGCGTGAAAACCGTGTACCAGTACCTTGGTCAGTGTCTCACTTCCTGATTCCATGAGTTCCTGTGTAATGCCTTCTTCACCAGTAGCCCTTCCTTGCTTTGTCTGTTTCATTGCATGTGACATTGCTGGCAAGATATCTCGATTTCATATCGATATCCTAAATTTTGTTTCTTCAGTTTCCTTGTCATCACCATGTCTGTTGTTGTCTTCGTTATTGTACGGCTTTGTACGGAGATCGTCCGTTCTCTTTAGAATCTATCAGTCTCTGATGACAGTTCTGACTTGTGCCTTGAGAGCTAACATTTGTCTTTTCCCGACCGTCCCGTCAATCAGTGGTCTAATTTCTTCTTGCTTCGGCTGTTTGCAATAATTTTCTTTACCAGTCTGTTAAGGAATGCTCACACATCTTCCTTTTATCAGTTTCCTTAAAATTTTCTTTAGAGTTTCATGTATTTTATCAGGGCACATATGCTGACAAACTTGGGATGGATGGGAATTCAGCTGCAAAATGTCTACGTTCCAAGAAATCGTTTTCTTGTGTATGGCGGAAACGGCTACTGGTTGAGATCCAGTTTTAACAATTTTGACAGCCAGGCGATGAAACTGGTTTCCAGTACATGCAGTGCGGCGATTCCTTTTTCGACTTTCTTAATTCGCACTGGCTGACGATGTGGTTGACTGTTTTTTCTAGATAGCCGCTGTCGCAGCCGAAGTTTATTTGTAGCGCCACTTTGGCAGGTGGTGCACAGTCCTGATGTGGGTCATCTGGCTCCTTTTCAGAGTTGCCTACTGTTAGCGGATCAAATGGAACTTGGACAATATTCTTGTCGGACTGTAAATTGGCACGTTGTAGTTCTGCCAGATTTTTCTTAACTCATTACTTGCGTCATAAAATGATTCCGTTAAGTCATGGGTGGTTTTTCGTAACGGCTTCAGCGATTTGAGTTTTGGCATATTACAGTTAATGAGTTCTTGGTGAAGAGGTAGGTTTGACTCATCCTGCATTTTACGATAGCTCGATTTGACCGCTTTGACCTTGCTTATTCGAGTGGAGGTATGTCAGAGAGTACCGGTATCCATTGAAGTTGAGCGTTAGGCATAGTTCCTGTAATGATTATCATGGTGTTGTTAAGGATGGCATCAAGCTTCCCTACATGACTACTTTGGAGTGACGCTGCAGCGCACTACTCCGCTAGAGTATATAAGACGGCAGCGGCTACTGTTCGCAAGGTGTGGGTGTCAGACCCCCAGCTTGTTCCCGCATGTTTCTGCGTAATGTTGTTGTGAGCCAAGGTCTAGAAACGCGACGCTGCGGTCCAGGTTGTATCGAGGAATTTCGAACTTGCCTCGTTTCTCGGTCGATCGCCGCAGAAGGACACTTCGAGGTTTACTTATACCATGCGACTGTTGAAACAAAGGCTGTGGCCGTTGTTTAAAGCAGGTTGGGGTATAGGCTGCATCGTTTGTAGTAGTCTTTCATTATATTCAGGTAGGCGATTAGGGTACGGCCGACTGACCGAGATTTCTTCCTTGGAGCGCAAGTGCAAAGTCGTCCGCGTAGGCAAACTTTGTGACCGATATTGGCGGCATGTCGATTGTGTACTTTTGAAGAATGCGGGTGCTAAGACCAAGCTTTGCGACAATCCATTCTTTACTATGTT